AAAAAAATATAAATCAGAGTTATTTGTTTATCATTTTGACAAAGAAACAAAAGATGGTGTAGTTTATGGAACTTGTAAACATTGTGGGACCGTCATAAAAATGGGAGTCTCCGGCGGTTATGGCGGTCCGGAAAAACACCTAAGGTCGAGGCATCCTGTGGAGTTTGCCAAATACGAGGCAAAAAAGAAGGGACGACAAGAAGTGCAAACCCAAATTTCTCGGTTTGCTAACAGAGGTAAGGGCGGCCTTTTTGCTTATAGCGACGAGCAAAATAAGCAAAAAATGACCGAAATGATTTGTGAAGAAAATTTTCCATACATGTTTTCTGAAAAACTTGGTTTTATTGATTATTGTCAACAGGCATTAAACCTTCAAGCACGAGGTTTTTCAAGAAAAACAATTAAACGAGAAATTATTCGTCAGTATAAAAATGGAAAAATAAATTTGGCAAATTTTTTTCTTAATTTTAATTCTCGTGTTGCTATTTGTTCTGATATTTGGAGTGAAACTTATCATAATTTGTCTTATATGGGTGTTACTTGTCATTGGATAGGTAGTGATTGGATTATGCATAAACGTGTTCTTGCATTTCGTGATTTCATTGAACAACATACTGCTGAAAATATTTTCCTATTGCTTCAGAGTATTCTACGGGAATACAACTTATCTGACAAAGTGTTTTCATTTGGTTTTGATAATGCTACTAATAATACTGCAGCCATTCCTAGACTTAGAGAAATCTGCCCACCGTCTACGGCTATGGGTAGATTTCTGCATCAACGGTGTGCCTGTCATGTTTTAAATTTATGTGTTCAACAGGGACTAGAAGCTATGAGCGGAGTTTTGACGAATATTAAAGAAGGAATTAAAAGAATTTGGGGGGCTCGTCTTGTTTCGAAAAAATGGAAGATTTTCTGTAAGTCTAAAGGTAGAAAAGAAATAGTTTTTGCAAAAGATATCCACATTAGATGGAATAGTACATACAAATTGATTCATCAGATTCTAAAATATAGAGAGGAACTTGCTGAATTTTTTAGTGATGAACTTCGCATAATCATTGATCCTTTTGAATTTGTACTTGTTGAAAAATTGAATGCCGTATTAGAAGTTTTTAATAACGCAACTCTTACTTTTTCTCATGTTTACCAACCAACTACAAATACATTTTTAAAAGAGTGCATTACAATCGCAACATGTTTTCGTGAAAGTAAGGCTGATCCAGATTTGTACCCATATGTCTCTCCTATGATACAAAATGGTGTTCTTATTATTTGTACATTCCTGATATTTATAAAATAGGTATTATTTGTGATCCACGCTTTAAAATTGAAAATTATAAAATTTTAATTGATTATTACTACAAGTATTTTTTAGATGAAAATAGTTATTACTACTCTTATTTAGTAGAATGGAAAAAAGAAAGAGATAATGCTGTAACTTTTTTTGAGAATTTGTTTGAGGAATATCAAGGGTTATACGGCACTGTACAAGAAGAAACAGCACCACCTCCGCCTCCGAAATCAAAAAAAGGTTTTGCCGGAATAGTCGGTGGGCTTCTTGCAAAGAAAGGGAAGCGTGCTCATTCTTCGACGAGTTCAAGTGGTACAACAGTAAGCTCGCACAACGAACTTGCTATGTACCAGGGTGTGCCATGCGATTACGATGAAGACGAAGTGGATTTTGACGTGCTCGGATGGTGGAAGCGGAACGAACACATGTTCCCATGTCTCGCCATGCTAGCAAGACAAGTGTTATCCGTTCCGGTATCAACCGTAGCAGTTGAACGAGAATTCAGTGCTGGCGGCAACATTCTAACCGACTTTCGAAGTTGTCTTAGCGTTGAATCTCTTGAAACACTTGTTTGCAACCAAGATTGGCTCTTGGCAAGACGTCGAGCTCAAGAGTCAACGTACCAACTCGAATCGGAGCATTACATGAATGCAACAACAGATGGAAGTCCGAGTTCTGAAGAATAAGTTATAATTTTTTTTCTTAATGTAAATATGTAATTAGTTTTTTTTAGCTGAGCGATATATAAGCTCCTTCGAGGGTTTCTTTACGGTTCTTTACCTCGTCGCTTTTTTTCAACCGTCAGGATATTAAATGTGGTTGTTCTTTAGTTAGTGTATTATTCATTTAAAATATTTAAATAACAACTACATTTTTAGATAACAACTACATTCCGGTGCTTCATTCTTTTCTTAAACAATTGCAAATTTAAAATTTTATACTTAAAAATTTTTAAAAAAGCAAAAAAAAAAATAGGGGGGGGGGGCGAAACCGGCCGGTCCGGGAACCGGAACCGGTACCGGCCGGCACGGTGACGGTTCCGGTGACATGGGGTGGCGGTACCGGAACCGGAACCGTACCGTGTCCACCCCTATGGATAACTGTGACATTTTAAAAAAGGGTGAACCCAAACTCCCAAGGTCTTAAAGTTCCGAACACTTCTCGTATTAGGTTAGAATGATATGAACAAAGTTGTAATCTCGATAATGTCTTTTCTTTCCACCTTGATTGTTGTGCAAAATGAAATTCTCTCTCCTTATGAAATTATTCTTTTGGTTTGTTTTTTATGTAGTTCAAGAAAAATAAAATTATTTGATTAAAATTAATGGAAAGAAGAGAAAACTAACATGAATCACTTATTCTACTTTGTATTAATTTTAAAGAATGAAAAATTTGTTTTTGGGACGATCCAAAAAGAAAAATTAAAAGATTAATATTCAACAAGGGAGTACTACATAGAAGATTGAGGGGGTTCGAGAGTATAACTATTACTTCCTCCGTCACGCCGGTGGGCGTTGCGTAGTTGACAAGGCAAGTGGTGCCAAGGGGGTAAAACCTGACTCCCAAGTTCGATTCCACGCAACTGCGCTAGAAGACAACTATATCAAGCATTGAGTTTCTGCAAATACCAAGTGCAGTCTTCAACATTTGCTACCAATCTACGTTTAAAATCTAATTAACTTTGGGGATGAAGCTATCTTTTTTTTATTACTCCCTCCGTCACATAATGATTATACTCTTGAAAGTTTGTGCGAAATAAAATGCTTTTAAAATTTATTTTATTTAAAATTGGTATAGAAAAAAACTTATATATTTGAAATACGGAAAGACACGTGTGCTGTGTAAAAAAATTAGATCTCTCTCTCTTCTTCTTCTTCATCACTCTGCCTATCCTCCGTTAAACCCTATACCCACAAATCCCGCACCCCCGCGTTTCACGCCATGAATCCATCGCTTCTCCTCCCAACCAATCCATCTCCGAACCGCGCAATTCTCCTCCCCCATTTCCTCAACCCCACCCCTGTCCGCCTCGCCGCCGCCTCCCGCAACCGCCGCAGCCACCGCGTTAGAATCCCAAGCGTTCGTTCATCTTCCGACAATCCATCTACATCAACCGATTCTTCTTCCACTTCTTCCATCAATAGCGCTGCGATTCCCGTTAAGCCGGATGTGTTCGGAGGCAAGAGGGAGCTGTCCGGCATTCAGTTGCTGGTGGACTCCATGCCACACCCGGTTAGGATTGCTGGTTCGACTCTTGTGTTTGCAGGCGCAGTAGCGGCCGGGTATAGCCTTGGAATCAGGTTTGGTGGGTCCCGTAATGCCGGATTGGGTGGGGCTCTGGCCCTTGGAGCTGCCGGAGCTGGCGCGGCTTATGCTCTGAACTCTTGTGTACCTGAGGTTGCGGCGGTGAATTTGCATAATTATATGGCGGGATGCGATGATCCGTCTGCTTTGAAGAAGGAAGCAATTGAAGCTTTAGCAAATAAGTCAGAATCTGATCAATCTGTTGGCATACTCTTTTCATTTTTTCTAAGTTATTTTCTAAGTTCTTACTTTAATTTTTTAGATATGGAGTCAACAAACAGCATGAGGCCTTCAATGCAGAGCTTTGTGATATATACTGCCGGTGAGTCAAACCCTTTGAACAATACTTTCAGAAGTAGCTTTTACATTATTTTATTCTAACATAGAAGCTAACAAGTTACTAGTATAAAAGTAGCTTGTTTTTTTATCAAAAGAAGCTGATTTTTTCATGCATGTTCTAGGTATGTATCTGCTGTCATTCCTCCCGGAAATGAAGATCTTACAGGTGATGAAGTGGAAGCTTTAACAAAATTTAAAAGTGCATTAGGCATTGACGATCCGGATGCAGCAGCCATGCATATGGAGGTATTCTTATGTTATTTTTTTCAACATTAAACCCAACAAGGTGAGGCAGGTAGATGCATTTACATAGGGCTGTGTTGGTATTCATCATATTTTTCAAAACTAAAACTAATCAACTGTTCTATTTCAGATTGGTAGGCGCCTTTTCAGGCAAAGACTTGAAACTGGAGATCGTGATGCTAACATGGAACAGAGACGGGTGATTCATTACTTTAGTTACAAAAAAATTGAATATGGAGTATTAAATCTAGTAGGCTCCTGCTTGCTTTTTACCAAGTGATAAAACATGACCATTTTTAACATATTCAGTGCAGGCATTTCAGAAGCTGATATATGTTTCTACCCTTGTATTTGGAGATGCTTCTTCTTTCCTTTTACCTTGGAAACGCATGTTCAAGGTCTCTGAGTCCCAGGTATAAGATTTATTTTTCTCCTTTACTTTTCATATGTACCCAAGCTCTAAGAATATTTTAAAATGCGAAACCTGATAGTATGTCTTACACCATGGGGTGATGGTCAACTGAAAAAAGGTGTATTGTTTATGGGGATAACCTTGTTGAGTCTCATGTTGTCAACTGTGTTTTAATGTTTTTTTAAGGTTGAACTTGCTATTCGTGAGTGTGCACAACGGCTTTATGCTACCAGACTTAAATCTGTTGGACGAGGTATTGCTATCGCTATTGTATCTCCGTATCTCTGTGCAATAGTTCACTACTCCTGAACTCAAAGAATTATTTTATGTGAATTATTCAAATATGAGCAATGTATTTTTTTTCCACATCTTTTAATGCTAAGGGGAGTGAGGTATGCACATGTTGTCCATTGGAAAAAGAGATCTCATGGTATTGCTATGTTGAGTTGTTTCTTGGATCAATTCATTAATTTATCAACTTGTTTCACAGATGTCAATGTGGACCAACTTGTTAGCCTCAGGGAAGCACAACTTTTGTATCGTCTTAGTGATGAGGTATTGCTTCCAGTTCATGCTACTTATTTTGATAGTATAAAATAAGCAATTACCCATTTTAGTTTCAAATCGTTGTTTGAATTCTGTTTTACTCTCTCGGTCCAAAAATTATCTTCCCGTTACGTGTTACAATGTTTGACTGAAGTTATTTTCAAATGATTTTATATAAAAAAATGGAATGGAATTAAAAAAATAAAAATTATATATTTAAAAACTACATCAAAAGATCTACAAAACTAGAGGTGACATGACTATATTATTTTATCAAATGGGCAACAAAAATAAGTCAACAAAGTGAATAAAGTTTTACCCGGTGAATAGTGAGCGGGAAGATAATATTTGGATGGAGGGAGTATGATGCTTTTCAAGCATATAATGTCCTCCATATTGGGGGTTCAATTAACAACCATAATGGCATGGCAATTTTTATTCATTTTGTAATACGTGGAGGAGATTACTATTCTTTAATTGCTGAACTGAACTCCCACATATTGAATGTTTGAAAGAAATGACACTCTAACCATTGAATTGAAGAAAAGTCACTCACATAGACTCATAGAGGAATGCAATAGTGAATTTTTACTATTCACTTTTCAACAGTTGAAGACAATTCATTTCCAGATTGGCATTGGGTATGAAGTATGAAATAGAACTATTGTCTAAGTAGTAAGGACTAGAGGGACATGATGCATGTTTTATAAACTAGATCTGTGATAACTTGTTTCCAATGAAACTAATGACCATTTATATGTCAACCCAACATATGCACACCTGTTGATAATATTTGTTTTCGTTGCAGCTTGCAGAAACGATGTTCAGGGAGCATACGAGAAAGCTTGTGGAAGAGAACATATCAAGAGCTTTAACCATATTGAAGTCCAGGACAAGAGAACCGTATGACTACAGCAATCTATGTTTCTGTTGACTTTGTCTAAAGTTTCTTCTCCAACAACAACAACAACAACAACAAACCCAGTAGAGCCCACAAGAGAATAGGGTTTGAAGAGGGTGTGTGTATCCGACCTTACCCCTACTTGAAAGTAGAGAGGCTCTAAAGTTCCTTCTCCAATAAAAAAGAAACACTTTTAGTAGCACCTAATAATACCTATATGTCTAACTTGTTCCCAATTCACTGAAAGTACGAAGGTATGTTCAATAACCCAATTCTCTAAAATGAAAATTTACAACCCAGTAGAATCCCAATCCCACTGATGTAGGGCCTGAGGAGGACATGTGTAAGCAAATCTTATCCCTACTGAAAGGTTTTTATTATTCTATGGATGTGGGTAAAAAGGATAATTTGGAAACTAGTTTTGGAAGGTGTCAAGTAATGTCTGAGTGCCTACATCTGACCCCCTTCCCCCGAAATAGACAGGAGCCTTTGAGGCAGTGGGCTAATGTTGTTGTTGTTGTTGAAAGAAGTTGTGGTTTCTCATGCCAACTATTATGCTAATATGTTACGATTTAATCATGGAGCATTGAGAATCTTTTTCTTGTTTTTTTCACTGTTCTTCGTTCTGTGTTGTTTATTGTTTGTAATTTTTGAAGTATAACAATTTGATTTGCCTGTGATTCTCAGTGGGGAAGCTACACTTGTCATTGAAGAGCTTGACAAAATTTTGGCTTTCGAGAATTTGCTAATCTCATTGAAAAATCATTCTGATGCCGGTCGTTTTGCACGAGGAGTTGGGCCTGTTTCATTGTCAGGTTCGACTTTAGCCTTTCCTCTTTATTTTCTTTACCAGTATTTGTGCATCATGTTGTTCAATCATTTCTGTAGCTATACCTTTTTTTAAACCCATTACATGAAAGTAATTTTCAGTTTTTCTATTCTCAGGTGGTGTATATGATACTGATAGAAATATTAATGACGTAAAGCTTCTTTACCGAGCCTATGTAACGGATTCTCTAGCCAGTGGTCGCATGGAAGAAAAGAAGGTGTAGTTTGGTTTTCTTTGTTTTTTATCGTTCTCAAAGGCGATGCCTAAGTAGTTTCTGATGGTTCTCTAGCAGTCTACACAGTTTCTGATGTTTTTTCTTAATTTTGTTAAGATTGTCTAACAACTTTACTACATATCTCCAATTTGGATTTAGCTTTCGCAGGAAGTTCTTAGGATTGTTAAGTTGGTTTACAACCAGATTAAAGTATATGCATGAGGCTACTCTGCTGTAACGTGTGTTTTGACAAATCTTTGCCCTTTAGGAAAAAAATCTGCGCTGATAATGCATGTTAATATCTATTATGACTTTTTCCCATGCTTATCCCCCCCCCCTTCTGCTTAGATCTTTTTATGCTTAAATATTTACTCTTTTTCCATCTTGCAGTTTGCCGCACTGAATCATTTGAGGAATATATTTGGTTTAGGCAAAAGAGAAGCTGGGGCAATTACATTAGATGTCACTTCAAAAGTATATCGTAAACGACTTGCTCAGGCTGTACGTACAGGTGATTTGGCAGCTGCTGATAGTAAAGCAGTCTACCTTCAAAATCTTTGTGAGGAATTGCGCTTTGATCCACAGAAAGCAAGTGAGATACATGAAGGTAATTTCATGTGATTATTCTGCATGTGAATTCCAGCAAATCTGCCATAATCTAGAGTCCTTGTTTTTTACACCTTGCTAGTTGCCCAGCTTTATCATCAGCTAAGTTTGCAGTTTTATGGTCAATTGAGGGAGTATTTCATTTTTCTAAAAATGTATCTTTTTCTAAGAAATCAGAACATTTTCCATGGAAAAACAAAAACACATGAAACTGATGAAAGTATCTTTTCTCGGCATTTTGTTCCTTTCCCTAGTATTTTCTGGGATCAAATCATACCCTAAATGTGCCACATAGTATTTAGAAATTAGAAGAAAGAAATTTTGTGAGTGACTTAATTCTTTTTTTAAAAGAAAATGGGAGGAATGTGAAGTTTATTTAACGATGTATGTATCTATTTGTATGATATTATAATTTGTTTTTCTATTTGGACTGCAGAAATATATAGGCAGAAGCTTCAGCAAGCAATCTCAGACGGAGAACTTAGTGATGAAGATGTGAATTCCCTTGAGCGGTTACAGATAATGCTTTGCATTCCCAAGCAAACTGTTGAAACAGCACATGCTGAAATCTGCGGCGTTTTATTTGAAAATGTAAACACTATTCGCTCCACATTCAGACTTTTTACTGAACAAGTCAATATACTCCGTATAATGCAAATAAAATAAAATGTTGATATCACTTCTTTTCATAGGTGCTTGTGTCTGTGTTCTTTTCACAAACATACTTATTATATTATATGTTACCTCCTGCTTTGTAATCATATACAGTATAATTTTGTATTTGTTCATTTGAGCTTATTTGTGTGACTGCCTGTCAAATGTTTTCCACAGGTGGTGAAGGAAGCAATTGCAGGAGGAGTGGAATGGTATGATTCTGAAGTGAAGAAATCTGTTAGAAAGGCAGCTTATGGCTTACGCTTAACTAAAGAGGCTGCATTATCAATTGCTAGTAAAGAAGTAAGTATCTAATGAGTTTGCCTATGATTTCCTATTATATGCAAACAATATGTGGGATTTCACCATGTAGTTAAAGACTTAAAGGTCTGCTTTGAGTCCCGATTGTTAGATATTATGTAATCTTGGATCAAAGTGACCCTAAAAGTAAGATGTTCCCTAAAATGTTTTGGGCTTGAACTTCTATTGCAACGATGTTGAGTCTTAAAAAATTTAATTTCTAACTGTGCCCACATATTGGATGATGTGCAGGTCCGGAAAATGTTCATAAAGTATGTTCAGCAGGCCCGAGCAGCTGAAAACCGCACTGAATCTGCAAAAATATTGAAAAAGTTGATATCATTCAATAGCTTGCTTGTCACTCGACTGGTTCAAGATATTAAGGGGGAAGAAGAAACATCATCAAAATCTCCGCATGAGAAGCATCCTATGAATGATGAGGATGTAGAGAAGCCACTATATGAGGAAGAGGAATGGGACTCTATGCAATCCCTTCAAAAATTAAGAAAAGATGGGAAAGACTTCAGAAAAGGCATCCAGACCGAGATAACCCTGAAAGGTGATCTTCCGGATATGGACAGAATTGATCTGTACAAAACATACTTGCAGTATTGTCTATCTGGAGATGTTACCATGATTCCTTTCGGTGGCCAAATCACCACCGAACGGGACGACTCCGAGTTTGTTCTGTTGGGCCAACTTGGTAGCATCCTTGGGCTCACCAACAAGGAGATCGTCAATGTGCATCGTGGCTTGGCTGAACAGGCATTCAGGCAAAAAGCTGAGGTAATATTAGCCGATGGACAATTAACGAAGGCCAAGATGGAGCAACTGAATGAAGTTCAGAAGAGTGTTGGGTTGCCTCTTCCTTATGCCCAAAAGATAATACAGAGCATAACGAGTACCAAACTGGGAGCAGCACTTGAAACTGCTGTGAGTCAGGGAAGGTTAAGTGTGAAGGAAGTTAGAGAGTTGAAAGAGGCTGGGATTGATATCAACACTATGATCTCTGTGAGCTTACGTGAAAACCTTTTCCGGAAAACAGTGGATGATATATTTTCCTCTGGCACTGGAGTGTTTGACGAAGCAGAAGTGTATGAGAACATCCCTGCGGATCTTAATATTAATGCCGAGAAGGCCAAAAGGGTCGTGCATGATCTAGCACGTACTAGGCTGTCAAATTCTCTCATTCAGGCAGTGGCGCTTCTAAGGCAGAGAAACCAGAAAGGAGTGGTATGTGTGATATTTATGCTGTTTTCTTACATTTTTATTGCCTTTCGTAGATATATAGTTTTCGTCCCTACAAATATAGCATCTTTCCTACAAATATAGCATCTTTTTTGTTATTGTTGGTTTCTGAACAATAGAGATTCATCTCAATAATCAAAGTGACATGAAGATTTTGGCAGTTTTTCTTATCTCTCTCTTTATTGTTGTGGCAGGTATCTTCTCTCAATGACCTGTTAGCCTGCGACAAAGCTGTACCTTCAACTCCATTATCATGGGAGTTGCCGGAGGAACTTGCCGATCTCTTTGTGATATACCTGCAAAGCGATCCCGTGCCTGAAAACGTGTCCCGGCTACAGTACTTGCTGGATATAAGTGATTCAAGGGCAGACACCTTAAGAAGCTTCAAGGGTAGGGTTGTCTCAGAAACTGCTGAAGAGGAAGAAGAGTTTGTTTTTTAACTTGTTTTCTTCAAATTTAAAATTAACAGCAGAAGAAGAAGAAGATAAACTAGTGTCTGTAGCCCATGATTTGTCTCACCAGATTTTTGGATATTTATAGGGAAAATGTAATATGAATTTGTTTCATGCATGTATGAGAGGCAGGTGGTTTGGAATTTTGGATCAAGGTTTAATAATAAAAGTTTATCCATGACGTGCAATATGAATTAAACACGTACACAATAAATTCTACAAAAATAAGTGGTGAGATGACTATTTTTTAAAACGATCGATGAAAATGTATTAAGAAAATAGATTTAGTTTGATATTGTAAATAATAAACATGAGTCGTATTTGGGGATGAATGAAATATTATTTAGTCACAGTTTTTATAATTATCAAAATCAATTTTATGTAAATAAAACATTAATTTTGTGCAAATTGTTATTTCTGAAACCAAATAGCAGTTTAGAATAAGACTCGTGCATGTTAAAAGTAAATTTTAGACCAAGTTCTAGTTATATTTAATTAAAAATGATTTTGGACAGGCATGGTAAATCAGAGGCCGTTTCCGTAGTCACTGGATTCCAGTGGCCACGGAAGCCACTACCCCCCTACGGAGCTCCGTTCATGAAATTGGTGATTCCTACCCCCTAATCCCCCGGTAAACCTCCATGCCAAGTCTCGACCCAAACTACTCCCTCCACCTATTTCAATTGCACCTCGTAAGTATAATTGACTTTAAAGTCAAAAATTTTGACTTTATACTTTAAAGCCACTAATCTCCAATGGCAGCAGAACCCATCCGTTGTTTGTTTTGTTTATTCTACATTTTGTTTTTTATTTTATTACTTACTTTTATTTGCTTTTTCAAAATGCTTCTTTTATAAAAATGAGAGAAAAAATGAGACTCTATATGTAGAAAGAATGGATATGGTACTATTGAGGGTAAAATGTGTTTGCACGAAGGATAAGCGAAAAATTAAAGTGACATAGGAATGATAAAATCTAAAAAGAATAATAGAATACTAATTTTAAATACATTTAATATTTTACTCGTAAATAACTTGTAGACCATTATTAGCGTTCTTTAATACGGAATATCACATATCCCAGTTTTAAAAAATTCACAAGTTTCTCATAAAACAAGTCCTCTTCTCGAGGCTCTGAAAAGAAATCTTCTTTCAGGAGACATCAAGTCTATCAAATCCAATAAAATTCTCTTTGTGAGGCATTGAAGACAAGTCTTTTTACACAACTTACGTGCGTAGTAGCCATCGTCCTCTTTCTATAGTACGTTAGTTACCACATCGTATTTCTATAAATATTCATTCTGCTTTATATGAGGGGAACAAACCCTATTAGCCGTTGATGTGCAACTCTTTAGGATTGGCTTTAACAAGATTGGGTCGGCAGCTATGAGCCAGAGGGTTTATTCAATCTCATTTTCTTTTTTTAGAAAAAATATTTTCTTAAAATTATTTGACTTTTATTTAGTTTTTTTAAAAAATATTTTCATTAAATTATACTCTCCGTCCCTAAATAAACTTCCATTTTTGACTTTTTGAGGATTTAATAGAGGGATATTTTTGTGTTGACTTTCCAAAAAGTCTATTCAATCTCATTTCCTTTTTAAAAAAAGTATTTTCTTTAAATTATTTGACTTTTATTTAGTTTTTTTTAAATATTTTCATTAAATTATACTCTCTCCGTCTCTAAATAAACTTCCATTTTTAACTTTTTGAAGATTTAAGAGAGTGATATTTTTCTGTTGACTTTCCAAAAATACCCTTGATGTGACGTATAAAAGTAAGATGTGATATGTAAATTATTAGTAAAAAAGTTTGATGTGATAGGTAGAATATGAAAAAGTAAGGGGTAAAAGGGTTTTTAAGGGGAAAGAGAAGTTTATTTGGGAACAAAGAAAAAACGAAAAAGGAAGTTTATTTAGGGACGGATGAAGTATAATCTTATCACTTTTTGTTTTGTTGAACGTTTTGAATAGTTCATTTATTATATAAATTTTATTTTTAAACTTTAGACATACTCACATAAATTTAATTGAAAATAAAGTCGGTCAAGTCACGTAACGCGTTAATACTCATGTTCTTTGGCTTCAAGCCATTGATCCATGCTTCTGGAGATTGATTATTTAAATGTTGTAATTAATATTTGCAAGATTGGATCAATAGCTTCAAGCCAATGGGTCTAAGTATTTGATCTTTTTTTTAAATTTTTTTGTTTGCAGTACTTCACATAAGATAATACTCCCTTCGTAATCCCATATATCTTTTCATCACGCCTTACGATGCTTAACTGGTTTTATTTTCAATTCAATTCATTTAACCTTAGAAAAAACAATACTAGATAAAATTTGATTGAGGATATTGATTTATAAGTGCAAGTATTCGCACTTTCTTCTTTTATAAATGGGTCGAAGTATTCGATCTTATTTAGTTTTTTTTTTGAAATTTTTTTTGTTGTTCTTCACACAAAATGATACTCCCTTCGTACTCCTATATATCTTTTCATCATGTGTTAACTGGTTTTTTTAATTCAATTTATTTAATCTTAGAAAAAACAATTCAAGATAAAATTTGATTGAGGATATTGATTTTGTGGTTTGAATTAATTACTAGACAATTTATAAATGCAAGTATTCGCACTTTCTTCTTTTATTACACTTGACCCACCTGAAAAACATACTCTATATGGCTAAGGGTAAAATAGACATTCACATTGTTTTTCTTTCTAAACTCCCTTTAAATATATGAAAAGTCAATTTGGAAAAACCATTCTCGGTAACTTTTTATTTGTCGTCAAGGTACGTTTAACTGATTTTTTTTAAAAAAATAATTGTATAATATCATTAGTACAATCAATTTAATTTTTCCTTTTTCTACAAAACAGAGTCAACCTTAATAATAAGAGAGGTAGAATGTCTTCATTAATAACATAAAGTAAGGATTATTTAAAATGAAAACGCACATCTTCATGTTTTAGCATGAAGCTCTCTCCTATCATTTGGTTGGATATTTATCTCTTTCGGTACAACTAGAGATGAATACATACGTATCTAACTTTACATTTAAAAATGTAACAAACCCTTTTTTTTAATACTTCGCGTGTTTTTGAAGTTTCGGGGTCTCTAAACAGACTAACATTAGAAGTAACACAGCTAATGATTGCTGAAACTTCTCATTCCGAGTATCGTTTTGGTCGCTTTTGTTTCAGAAACAGCACTTCTGCCAAACACAGAACATGATTCTCTTTCCTTTTTTTCCCTATTGCAAAAAAAAAAGACCCAACAAAACGAAAAAACAGTGCCAAGCTGTCCTGGAAATACCTTCTGTCTATGGTTTTGCGAACCGCGCAACCTTAGTCAGCACTGTTCTCAAACTTCTAATGCCTGCACCAGATCTTGAGCTGACCATCATCTGAAAAAAAGAAAAACCAACACACACACACATATATATATATATATATTTGGGGTTCTTCGTATAAAAGATGCACAAAAGCAAGCGCCAAAGGGAATGAATATTGAATAATGGCAGTGGAGGTCTTTATACCAGAGGTTGAACCGCTGACTTGTTTGCCTTGAGGTTCTGCAAGATTATTACGCCACGGTGGAATTAAAAACAATTAACAATGTCGACCCTAGAAGAGTTGAAAATCTGAAATTACGTCAGTTAAAAACAGACTAATATTCACCTCTTCAATCTGGATTGCACGCCGTGCCACGTCAATTGGGAATACAGTATCACTCTTGGTCAAAATAATCTGATATTTTCTTTTAACTCTGTGGAAGACATAGTATCACCAAGGGTTATAGTCCATAATGTTGAGAAGAATGGGATTTCTCCTCCATTCCATAGCAAACAAGCTAGCAGGAGGTGAAACATGCAGTTAAGTTATAATCTTTTTACCCTAAAAACGTAAAAATAGCATTGGCACAATGATATATTTTCTATTACCTTTCCATCATTTCAATAAGTTCATAATCCCTTGCCCTCATACCCCATTTTGCGTCAATGAGAAGACATACTTTTTCAAGACCAACCCTTGTGCAGACGTACTCTTTCACCTGAAATTTTAAATGTTATAGAGAACCCAATCTGTTGCTGATCAAATGTTGCATATCTAGTAAGCAAACTCACAAGCTCCTGCCAAGTTTCCTTCACTTCTTCTTTGGCATAGGCAAAACCATATCCAGGCAAATCAACCAGACATAGCTTTTTCCCAAGATTGAAGAAATTAATAGTCTGCATCAAGGTAACGTGTCATTTCGAATGCACTGTGGCTCATATAATCCATTCATGAGAGAAAAGAGATAACCCACTTGAGTTAGTCCGGGCTTATCTGATGTTCGTGCAACACCCCATTGTCTAGTCAATGCATTTAACAGAGATGATTTCCCAACGTTTGATCTTCCTATTCAAATTCAATGAAAGAATTTTAGATCAAATATTAGCAAAAACTTTAAACACATAAGGTAAGATTGCCCGTAATATGGCTGGTGCACGATGAAAAATGAAAGGAAGAATATTATAAAGCATGAAACCTGCAAATGCAATTTCTGGGAGATCTGGTGGGGGAAAAGATGAAGCAGCCTTTGCAGCAGCGAAAAAAGTCAATTTGTTCCTAAATACCTGAAGAGAGCCAAATTATTAAACCAATTGAAATCCAGTGCAGCATACAGAAGATAGAACTCTAAGTTCCTTCAAGTCTTAGCTCAACGAGGTACTCCCTCCTTCCCTAAACTAAGTTCCCAGTTTTCCCACATTTCCTTTTTGGAACGTCCCAAAAAAAGTACTCACTTTCCTTCAAGGAAATAATTGTGTGGTCCATATGATTTCTCTCTCTTCCGCATAAATCTCAACTACACAATTTTACTTTTTCTCCAGGAAAATCAAAGTGGGAACTTAATATAGAGACGGATGAAGTATAAATCATCATCTTATTGATGAAAATGAAAAAAATAACCATTAAACCAGAAGATTGAGATTCTTAGGACTGAATAAGTTACAGTGACAAGAATTTTGCAATCTCCAGCACACTAAAAACAAAAATATTAATTGACATATCACCAAGTGGACTGCTAAAATTTTATAAAGTACAATTGAAGATAATATCATGCATGGATTAGAATTTACCGGTTCTTCAATCTGTTGCCTTTCTGAAGTGGGAATTGAGCTTGATAATGATGGTATATTATCTAAAGGCACAGAAAGATCAACGTTGTAACCCGCCCTTCTTAACTCAATTTCACGCCTACGGCCCAATAACTACAAGAGGAAACAAAAGTCCATAAAAACATTTGTGTTCAAGAAAACAAGAAAAAAAGTGTTCTGATTAGTATATGCTACTCAAACATACAAAGCCTAGCAAAAATAAGTTACATTCTCTTCCACAAAGGACAGGATGGAAGGGCTAGGCCGTATGGCACGAAACTGTGCATTCTTTGACATTCCAGCATTACTTGTTTGCTCTATACCTTCTTTCTTCTTTTTATTATTATTGTTATCTGAAAGGCAAACAATAGAAGGTATAGATTAGCAAGGAATAAAACAACAATTTTAAATTTGAGTTACTCGATCTTAATTGGTAACTCTGTCCAAAATGTCCATAACGATTAACGAAACGGCAACACATTAAGAAATTGAATGCTCAAATGAAGAGTTTGATTGAAGAAAAATTAAGTACAGTAAGCAAGAAAATGCAATAATCCTTATATAAAAGGACTCATGGTTCTTATATGTTATAAGCCAAAAAATGAAGGTGTTACAAAATCGAGAGAATGATAACTAGGAAAAGTAAGTGGAACATAAATATAGAGAGTACTGTTTTTTTAAAATAGAACTGCTTAAGCTTTTACTTTATTATACTAGAAAAAAAGGTAAATAGTTCCAGATCCATATATGAATCAAACTGTTTAAGGTACCCACAACTACAAAATGAATTCAAAACACTTCCTATTCAACAAAACCTCTTCTTTTTCAACAGCATAAAAAAAGAAAATTTCCAATTTGATAAACAATGAACTAAAGATGACTTTAATTTTTTAAAAATGAAAAAAAAACGTGTAAAAATAGACATGATACCTGCGAGAACATATAAAGGGGAAAGGGGCCTCGCTGATACTAACCATTTATAGACATGTCATCTTCAAGCCTCTTGTTTGAACCATCATGAGGATCAATGCGAATTCTTTTCTTTTTCTTCTTAGGTCTCTCTGTTATGTCTTCATCATCTGCTGACCTCTTTGTGTCCTTGAGATTTTTCTTAAAAGATTTCTTGAAAGGCTCAACTTTTTGCTCATTTTCCTTCTTATTTGTATTAGTTCTCACTTCGGGTTTTCTTTTTCCATTCTCACTTCTCCTGGAATCCCCAAAGCTATGACCTTTAATTGAAGTTTCAGGTTTAGCTCTCAGTGTCTTCTTGCTGAGGAACTCACTTTCCCGGGCTTTTCTACCTTCTGACAAGGTATCCCCCCTACTCGACTTCCCATAAACACGATATTCTCCATATTCTCTTTGCTTTCCTGAATGCAATTCAACTCTAATCTTATCCCTTCTCTTCCCAGAAAAAGTCTTTTTGCTCCCTAACCCAATATCAGCATCGGATGATCTTCCCTCACTAGAAGAAATTCTCTTCCTTCTCCCACCCGAAGACGGAGATTTGATATGACTATCCCCCATAAACTTTGGCATTTCCTTCCTACCTCTCCTTCCAGTCCCAAACACAGACTCGCCGTTGAACGAGATAACANTAAACACGATATTCTCCATTTTCTCTTTGCTTTCCTGAATGCAATTCAACTCTAATCTTATCCCTTCTCTTCCCAGAAAAAGTCTTTTTGCTCCCTAACCCAATATCAGCATCGGATGATCTTCCCTCACTAGAAGAAATTCTCTTCCTTCTCCCACCCGAAGACGGAGATTTGATATGACTATCCCCCATAAACTTTGGCATTTCCTTCCTACCTCTCCTTCCAGTCCCAAACACAGACTCGCCGTTGAACGAGATAACACCAGGCTTACTCCCACTCTTCTTACCCTCCGAAGCACTACCGTAACCGGTTTTGCATTTACCAAATGAAACATTAAATTTCTTCTCAACCTTAACGGTTTTCAACCCCATTGCTTCTGGAATCGGGCTAAACTGCTAATTGGTAGCGATGAAATCGGCAATTCAAATCACATCTCAGGAAATGGACATGATCAAGAGGCAATTTTAGGCATTTGTTTTTAGGTCAAGAACACAGCTGAAAGAGAAGAAGCAGTGTAAAAATGCATCCAAACCCTAAAGTATGCTCTCTGTATTTAGACATAAACACATATCTTTAGAAGTAAAGAGAAGATGACATAAAGAAAACGAGAAACATACTCTAATAAATTAAACCTCTTCCTTTGGGCTCCGTTAGCCGCCGTCAGCCTGGCGGCGTTTTGTGGTGGCTCTTCTTTCTGCAGAGCTGCGGCCCAGTTTGTAATCTCAGTAGTTCAGTACTCAGTAGTGGTACGACTGTAGGGTAGTTTAAGTCTGGGCCAAGGCCATATTTTTAGCAACATAGCAGTCCATTTCAACCATGGCCCAAATTAAACTGCAACTACTAGGATTCTCAACAAAGTAAATCAGTAGCTAAATCCCTTTGTTAGTTATTGATGAAAAAGAAGCCCATTATTGTTCTCCAAGCAAAGGTCTTTTACAAGCAATAATGGGCCTGTTTGGAATTAGTGCTAGAGATTAGCGTTAGTATATAAGATAAAATTTTAATGGATATGTTACTTTGAAAATGCTAAACGTTATCCGTAGATAGCTTTTTCAAAATGCTGATGCTAATTTTTAACGCTATTTCCAAACAGGTTAAATTTCGATATTGTTTTATCGGCTCGGTTCTAGTGACACCGGAGAACGGTATCACTCCGTTTTTGGGGCACCTCCGGTGCTCCGTTTGTAAAATTGACGATTCCTATCCCCCTAACCCACCCCCTAAACCCCTCACCCTACCCCCACCCCAACCCCGCCGTAAGCTCCCCACAAAATGTGTGACTATTATGCATTAGACTATTATGCAATGCATAATAGCCACACATTTTGTGGGGGGCTTACGGCGGGGTTGGGGTGGGTTACAGGGGTGGGGGTTTAGGGGGTGAGTTAGAGAGGGTAGGAATCATCAATTTTAAGAACGGAGCACCGGAGGTGTCCAAAAACGCAGTGGCATCGCTAGTGGCACCGTTCTCTGGTGTCACTAGAACTGGGCCGATGTTTTATACATAGAATAAAAACAAAGGGGAGAATTGTTTTACTCATATCCCAAAATATTTGTCAAGTATGTTAGATTGTTATAAAAGACAAAACTATTTTCAAGTATGTTGTAATTCATGAAGCACGAAATGCATTACAAACAAATACTCCATAATAAAGTAGGCATTAAAAATTTCAAAAAATGTAAATTCTTTGTAAATAACATTAGAGCATCTTTAATCCAAAGTTGTAATGTTCATTCTAAAGCAATGTGCTCATTTTGAATCAATCGAATGTTTATTTTTAAATGTTTGTTCATTACAATTATAATATTCATTTACTAAATAAAAATAAGATTCTTTGGTATTATATATTCACATTATTGGCATTGTAACACTTCTTTTGAAGATAAAAACACGATACTTCTATTTTGGCATTTTCTTCCTGTTTTAATTCAAATTTAGTATTTTTACCTACGAACAATGTAATGTTCATCCTGAAAAAATGTAGTATTCATTCAAGCCTCAGCATAGTGTTCATTCTGATACAACACAATATTCATTCTGAAACAATATAATATTCATTCCGAAGCAATGTAGTTTTCATCCTACCGGCTTTGTCAAAATATTACTTTCATCCTCGATCTAGCCGTCGTCTTTACGCCACAACACTTCTAGTACAAATCTCTACTCTTTTTGTTGCCCTAGTAATGCTACAAGCTATTTCGCCTATATTAGCTAGAAGTATCATCTCAATCTTTTGAGTCTCCTTGAGGTCCCTCATTAACGACGTCACAATAAAAAAATAGAGTTTGCCAATGTAGAACATGCAATTTTAGATGGATTTGTTGTATGGCCATGTAGGCATAGTACATGTTGAGCAGAATCACAACCGATGTACCTAGAGGAAGGTACATCTGGTTGTTCTATATTATGTGCAACAAATGTAACACTTTCTTTGTTCTTTTAATATTCCCGTACTCCGTAATGCGTGAGAACATCTACTGTATAAGTGGGTGTATCTAGGGGTAAGTAAATTTGGCACATATTAATATTGAATCAACGTAGTGTTCATTCTAAAAGAACGTACTGTTCATTATGAAATGTGTATATTCTAAAAGAATGTTGTGTTCATTCACAAACAACGTAAGGTTCGTTCCAAGTCAACTCAGTGTTTTTACCACCCCCAAATTCATACTACCGCCAACTTCATCTTTATCATCTTTATCACATAGAGAGAGAGAGAGAGAGAGAGAGAGAGAGAGAGATTATCCTTAGCTAAAGTTTTACAAGAGTACTTATCTCTTATCTATGTTTTCCCTATGTTTAAACCTTTGAAAAACCAACTAATGTTTCTATGGTATGTTAGCAGCTACTATATCTCATATATGGTTTCATTCACTCCCTCACTGGTCGGTCACATGGGCGTCAATGGTGGAAACTCGTCTTCGTTCTTCAAGCGGAAGGACTGGTCTGCAAATCTGTAAAACACAAACAAAACAAAAGCTTAAGAACATGTCCAAAAATATACAACAAATTTATAAAAAGCACTTTGTACAAAACTCGCCTACCTTTCTTTTCTGCACCACATCTGTTTTCCACCTGATGGTTTATCATAACGACTGGTTGGGACTGAAAGAGAAGTATCACAGAGTTTCCCTAATGACCCAAACTCAATCTCACTGAGCGAATTCGGAAGGCTATTTTCGTCAACAGAAGAATATCCACTGTGATGGTAATGGTACTGGTTGGATGATGAGAGCTTCTCATATTTCTTGCAAGACGTTTGGGAGTGTAAAGAAAAATCTTGCTTGAAATCATCGTTTCCCCAACCGTTTGCCTCAGACAACACTGGAATCCATCCATTGCTACTGGTCCCTTTTTGGAACTGGATTTTACTGCAGAGTTCTTTATTACCTCCACCCTTCACTTTGCAAGAGCGATCCTGTAAATAAAATACTTTTGAAGTTAGGTAGTGGTAGTAAGCAGTAAAATGAAGTAATGTAATCAAATGTATCATAAAATCTACACTAAGAAAACATTTGATTGCGTTGCCCTACAGTTGCTCAAAGATTGTGTAAAATTAATGACAAACTATGGAAGCACTTTTTATCCAATCTTGGCAACCAAAAAAACAAGAGAGTTGAGCTAGATCCATTTCAATAAGAGGCTTAAAACAGCTCAATCTGCAGAAAATGTAGTTCAAATGGTTGGATTTTCTAAGGAAGTATTTTAAAGAATACTCTGTATGTGTTTATAAAAAACCAACAGCATCAACTCCATCCATTGCAGCCAAAAAAATAACTTCACTACCGTTTGTTTTTTCATTATCACCAACTCTGCTAGCGTTATAACAATAATTAGTATTTGATGTAAAAATAAACAAAAATTAAGTCCACAAATGGGCTGTTAATAATCTAAAATGAAGAAGAAAGTACCATCGTTGGTATGAAAGGTTTGGCTATTGACAGCTTTGGCTTCTCTTCATGACAAGTACCATTTGATGGTAGTGGGTTGTTAGCAGGCGAGGGGATGAATGTGGGACCCACAAACATGGAACTCGTATTTGTAAAAGAATCTTGCCTGAATATTGTTGAATATTGAAAGGAGTCTTGAAATTGAGATTGAGCAAATAGGGGATCGGGCAATAATGATGTCATTGATGCATACCCATGGCAACACTGGCCATACACCAAACTCCTGATATGACTGTCATAATCCCCTGTGAGGTCAGCCAGAGGATTCAAAAATTCCAAATCATCCCCAGCTATGCTCGCTAAGTCCCTTTCCCGAAAATCAAGGGGCAAGCTTTCTAAAATGCTGCTGGCCTTTGGGGTCGAGATTGCTGAATCACCAGAACAGACACTATCACTATAATCCGTTACATGATCCAGAGGTACCTCTCCTTGCTCTATCCATGGCCCAAAAAATGTCTTCCCATTAAGGCAATCGAATTCCCAGCTTTGGGTGGGGCCCCAATCTGTGCTGTTTGTGGGAGCCCAGTCCCCAGTGGCAAAGCAGCTGTTTTCAGAAACTTGTTTCATCATCAAATTGTCCACCCCGTTCCTTAATATGGAAGAACCCCATTTGTCTTCACACTCAAAATTTTTGTAATTATCATTGCAATAGACAGATAATGGTTTTAATGGCATTTCATCCTCGTATGATAATGGCTCTGAGCTCTTGGGGCAAAACTTTAGGGGAGAAGAGTTCTTTAAACTATTTAAGTGGTTATGGCCATGCATATCAATGGTGTTCACAAAGAACTTTTTTATCCCATCTCCAATTTTATCATGAGGGGATGAGAGAATCCGTCCAAGCTTGCGTACTCCGTACTTGAAAGCACTACGTATGCGATAGTAATTGCCTGATTGCAACCAAATTTACAAAAGACTAATCAGTAATCAGATAACAAATGACCATTAAAAAACTTAACAATGCAAACAGTGTCATGTTAGAGATTTCTTCAACTAATTAACCAGTGTTGGGCCATTGGCAGCATTCAGATGACTTCTTGGGTGTTAAAATAAGATGACAAAGGATAAACTCATGTTCCAACTAAGTTTTCATTTATTACATAATTTAAATGACAGTATTTTCAGGAGAAGAGATGTTTTTTAGAGTCTTCTGTTACCTTGTACTCCATTAGTGTATGAATTACGAAAAACCATAGAAGTTCATTCACTAACCTCTATGCACACTGCGCCCAAGATTATTATTTTCCTTCAACGGGTCAATAATATTGAGATGCTTTAGCTTAAATGGACATAGGCTACCACTTTCGTTGAGTCTAGATGGAACTGAAAACATTTCCATACAGTTCCTCAAAAACTCTTCACTGAGCAATGCATCATCCATTCCATTGTCAAGCTTGTACACTGCCAAAAAGTCCAAATACAATCAAGAGTGAGCTGGCAAAACATAAATTTACTTGGAAAAAAACGATAGAAGGCTATTTTCTTGATTTTATTTTACTGCGGAAAATGCAAAGGAAAATGAAATGTAATTAATGCAAAATAAGTTAAAACATTTTACATATGTTTAAGTCCAAACTTCAGTAGATTTTTCTCTGATATTTTTAGAGTTCCAAAATTGACCACACAAAAAGAGGAAAATGTATGTTGTGGATGCATAGACATTACTCATAAGTCGTAATCATGCAACCATGAAGCATATAAGCAATTTATAAACATCATACAACATCTAGCCAGGTTTAAAAGTTAAAGCTACTGCTTACCCACAATCTCAGGAAGGGATGCCTTGGAAACCGGTCCATTCAAACTAACACAGTAGTTCTCCCAATCAAACTTACTGTAGTAATCCAAAAATCTATAAAGAACCTAAAAGAATTTAGAGAACCATCATGATCTAAAATTGAACAAACTTTTCCATAGACAAAGTAATACATGCCAAGTCACCAGCAAATACCGCTAGAGGACCATTTAAGGATGAATGGAAAAACTGGAAGATATATAGGACCAGTGCTTCCAATGCATAAGTAGAGATAAGACCATGATGAGCACCGAGAATTCGGCTTTCATAATAACACCAAGATTTTATCACCATAATACTGCGTTTGAAAAGATGATTCTTTCCAACAAGACGATCCACCTGTATTTGATTACAAAAACAAAAGAATCAGCAACTTTTTTATTTTAAAAAAAGTAATTACCAGAAGTATTAGCCCATGAACCTAACATTTTTTTCAAGTGTGCCATTAGAGGGGACAAATAGCATGAAAAATAGAACTGCAATATGTTCGTTGTATTTAAAATAAGAAAATAAAAAATTGAAAGCATCTTCTATTATTAATACAAACAGAAAGTCAACCAGCTTTAGACATAAATGATCATTACAAAATATTAGAAAAAACGAAAGAGTCTATATCTAAACAACTAATGGCACAATATTAACCAAGTTCTCTTTTTCAATTCTTACTAATTTCACAATAAAGTCAAGGCATATACTCCCTAGTAATTAAGTGAATGAGAGAGGGACCTTTATGCTTTACCTGCTCCAAGAAGCAAAGTGTGCAAAGACCTCCTAACTGATTAAACGATATATCAATTACAACATTCTGTACAAGGCATTTAACAAGTTTAACCTGCCATTAGACATTCAGATGTATTAGTTAAATGAAAAAGAAAAAAATCATTTAACAGTTTTGGAGTACAATACAGCATGTATAAAATGGAAGTTGAAGATTAAGGGCCCATAAGTAGTCAAATCATGCTTTTAGTTTTTCTAAATCTTATAATATTCTATGAACAAAAATGGGGGGAAAAACTTGTCAGTTTATTTCTAAAGCTGTTTTTTTCTCAAATTGCATGTAAGGTTATTATCCAACTCATCACCTCAACCCAATACAACTGATACCCAAATTACTTCACATGCCTCCTAACTCAACTAATCATCCCCCTACCTTGATATACCACACCCTACGGCCTACACTCTCCTATTATCCTCCTACCCCAAAAAGCTCAAAAGTTTTAAGATCTCAATATTGTTGATACTAGCCAGTTATTTTCTTGCATGTATGAATGAAAAAACATCTTTTGATAACCAAAAACACAAATAAAAAAAATGTTGCAAATAAATAACTGAGAGACCACTACAATAGACCCTCCCCCCAAAAAAACACGCACACACACACAACAACAACAAAAATGATAAGGGCATAAGGCAACTTGCAAAAAAGGGCAATAATATCACTTCATGACCACAAAAGCTATAGTGAAATAACTGGAAAAATTGCCTCTCAGTTCATAAAAAATATGGAGTAATATAAATTATCAAGTATCAGAAAGAAGACAACCTCAGCATCAATGAATTGAGTATCCTTGACTTCATACTCAGCATTTCCATTCTGTTCTTCTGCCCTTAGAAGAGCAAGGACATCATGTGCTAGAGATTCTTCAGCATTAGGACTAGTAAGAGCAGTCAAATCTATATCTCCATCAGGAAGATAAGTCTTCAGCGGCACCGATCCGTATGGGAAGGCCTACACAAATTAGCGAATAAATTCAATGAAAATATATTACTCCATATTTTTAAAAAAATGATTAACCAAAGAATGTTACAATTTCATCAACATAATCATGTTATAATGTACAAAAAAATTCACATATTGACCTCTAGCATCCAGTCAATCATAAAAATATATATCAGCTAGAAAGAGTTGGATATTATATTTCATCCAGTTATTCGACAGACAATAAGAATATATAAATTGTATCCTATGGCATTATTATCATAATTTCTTCACATTGGGATACTCCTGGCCCATTATTCAGAGTTAACCTTCATCATGGCAATAATTGTCACAATAATTCGTTTTAAGAGGCCATAGTTACATGCACCAGAATATTTCTCTCATTGTCTGGAATATTTCAACCGGGCCTCTTCAAACTGAATCATAATTATTAGGAGGTCTACAATATTATGCTTAAAATTTATAGTAGTATTCTATTTCTATAGATGCTTCATTAAAAAAAAAAGTCTCATTTCACATACTTCCATAGAGGAGTATTCACTCTTCATGTGGTACAATGTGATTCACTATTAAAACATCTTTCTCTTTTTTAAAGGTCATATAGTCATATCTAATTAAAATGCACCAACTCATAAATTTTTATTTTCCAAATAAAAAAATGATACCCCATACTCACATTGATCTACTGGCATCAGGGTCAAATATACCATCAATTAGGAATAGGTAATGAATGAATAGTGAACATACACTAAAAGTGAAAACCAGTCACTTGCTAATTGCTATACAATGTAATTAAGGGTTTGTTTGGTTGGAAGGGAAAATGATCCCCGCCCCCCTCCTCTCGTTTGGTTCAAAAATCAAAACATTTAAAAAAATTAGAATACAAAATTTTCCATTCCCTTTACAAACATGTAGAATTGTGTCCCACATTAAAAAAAACAATGGTTTGAACCAAAGTAGAGGAGAAATAATTTTTTGTTCCCACTCCTTCATCCAAACACAGCCTAAGAAAAGACACCCACACCATTGAGATTTGATACCAAGATCTACAGGACAATGGCAATGTAAACGAAGATGATATAAGCATGTAAACACACCTCGCATGCAAGATAATCTCTGATCAGTTTCTGGACATACTCCATGACGTCCTTCCTCTTCTCCTCTGAATCCATGGTGGGGTGGATACAATTCACCAACTCCTTGGCCGTCTCCTCCGCCGCGGCCCAGCATTCTTCTCCAATGGAGGACGGATCAGGATGAGTCGCCGCCAAACGATCATCCACTCTCGGCCCTCCGGACCCGCCGTGGCCGCCACCGTCACCACGATACCCCATCACACAGAGTTCAAAACTCAAAACTCCAAATTCAACCGGCTAGGGTTTGTTTTCAACAGAGAACAGCGCGGAAAATTCAGGAATCGGAAAAACGTAAGCTTCACATACAGAGAGGGAGAGAGATAGAGTTTACAGAGCGAAATTCCGAAACGGCGAAACGGAGAGCTTCGATCAACCATGAATGTGCAAGGCGGAGGCCGGGAACCTCATGCTCGACGAAATGTCTGAGAAGAAGCAACAAGGAACGGAAGAATCAGAGAGAGACAGAGACAACTCGAAATTGTCCCCTCTCTCACTCTCCCCTCCCTCCCCCACACCTTCCTGGGTTCTTTCTTCTTCTTCTTCTTCTTCTTCAGAATGGCAAATGAAGAACGAAATGCAGATTCACGGCGTCTTTGTCGCCATTTATGGCATTCAATTTCGGTTTTGATAAATCTCTCTCTCCATCTCCCCTCTCTCTCTTTATGGATACATATTTACAGAGCGGATGATGTGTCCCGTTTCATTTTTGTTCGTATTAGGAGGGCGGTGATTTTTTATTCTTGAATTTTAATAGACTTCTTTTTTTTTCTTTCTTGAATTTAGTAACGAGAAAGCTTGCAGATTAATGAAGAAATTTACCTAAATTATACATTTTGAATTGAAAAAAAAATATGAGCAAACATATGTTATAATCAGATCAATAGCGTAAAAAATACTCCGTAGAATTGTTTTTTTATTAAGAATGTTAGTGTTTATCCCACGAAAAAATGTGAGAAAAAATACGCTTCTGTTGAAGGGAGACTCTCTTCTCTTATCTTTTTCATTGCCCAACATCTCTATATATGAGACGGGATTAGGATTTATAGTTAAAGCCCAATGGGCCCACAATACATAAACTACAAAGTACAATCCATAATACATATTGTATCTACACGATAGCACACCATTTGCAGTTCCCTTTAACACTCCCCCTTGTGCTGAGTTGTAGATAGAAAGGTAAATGTCTTGTTGCCTCATAACGCATCTTCAAGTAAGAAAACCTCTCAGGAAAAATAACCTTGAGTGAACGGAAAGAGTACAACTTTTGTAGAATATGGAAGAATTCCTCTACTGAATGTTAACTTCTGTTTGCCAAGCAACAAACACCCGATGGGAAAATAAATCTTGGCATAAAAGAGTATTATAATATGGGTGCTTGACTCCCCCTGGAGTCTACACCTGCCCCTGATTATTACATCAATCAATAGGGTCACACATATGCACTTTTATATTGCTTTTGAATTCAAGCATCAGTTACTTCTGATGATGACACTAAATAAATTTTCTCAAAACAATATTGTCTTGTGTGCCAAATAAAATCAAAGAGCGATGCATTCTTATTGCCTCATTAAAACCTTGCCAAGTAACAAAACCCAATGGGAAAAATAAAACTTGGTCATAGGAAAAAGAGTACAATGCACCGATATGGTCGATGATAATTAGAACTCTTCTTAAAGTGTTAAATACATTGCACTGATATGTACTTATACCAATGACACTCATAAGACGTCACAATCGTGATACCATAATGTATCCCATAGAATATGCATTACTAATTTGAGGTTTTTGTTTATGAGGGTTAATGTGTCTTTGACCTTAATAAAACCGTCAAACAAGTTACTTTATGTTTAAGGGTTACACATATATTTTCATTAGGAACAGTATTATCATCAATCACTAAGTTTAACTTAGAAATAAATAATATCCATGCCAACAATTCCAACACGAACATCAAAATGCATTTCGATAATGATTGTATGACTATTCATCATAATTGTCCTAGTATAGTTATAGGCAACAAGTTCAATGAGAATACAATATTGGTTCAAGTGCAGTAATGCACTTTTGCACTCGTATTGGGAATTTCTTATCTCGATAATTCTTCAATACGTTCATTTGATTGAATGGATCATTTCTTGTATCCATAGTTCAAATTGATCATGAGAGTGCTAATAGGTTGCATTAACCACATCATTTGCCTGAGAATATTTGAGTATATGCAACCTGGTGATTTAATGTTCCACCAACTCTATACTTATAGAGTTTCTCAAGATCTATCATCTCATATACAGATTTCAACTATTCAAGGTTTGCTCATAT